TTCTCTGCGTCCCCGCTGCATTGCTCTTACATGCATCTCCCTCTCCACTTGTCTCTGCTGCTTGCTGCTGCTTGCTGCTGCTTGCTGCTGCTTGCTGCTGCTTGCTGCTGCTTGCTGCTGCTTGCTGCTGTCTGCTGCTGTGTGGCTGTTTGGGGTGTATGTACACCAGGTTGCTCAGCAGTGCGAGCGGTGGGTCGTTCAGAAGTTCTTTCGCGAGCACCTGGGCGCTCGGTGGCCCCTGTAAACCCTAAACCCTAAACCCTAAACCCTAAACCCTAAACCCTTGGGTATAGGGTTAGGGTTTAGCGGCATTCAAGTAATACGCAGCTCTGCTGCTGTATCCTAACTGCAGCAGCAGCAGCAGCAGCAGCAGCAGCAGCTGAAGGTCCTCGTGGGCCCCCACGTTGCTGCAGCATAGTGTTATATCTGAGGGCCCCGCGCAGCCCCAACCCGCAGGTAGGGGGGCCCCCAGGCCCATAGGCCCAGGCAAGCCCTTCAGGGGGCCTTGGGGGCCCCTCGCAGCTAACCCTGGGGGCCCCTGTAGGGCCCCCACAAGTGTCAAAGCCAACATATCTTACTGGGGGCCCCTATGGGGGCCCCCCCAGGGGGCCCCCGTGGGGGCCCCCCCCAAGGGGGCCCCTATGGGGGCCCCCGAGGGGGCCCCAGTGATATAGCTATTGACTAGCGTATAGGGAAGCTGATGCTCACTGTATGGGCATCTATAAACTTTTTGTCTCTATAGACGCCTTTTATTTGTCTCTCTATATAAACTTCTTTTGCTTGTCTCTCTATATACAAAAAAACAACTAAATAAATAAATAAATAAACAACTAAATAAATAAATAAATAAATAAATAAATATATTTATTTATTAACTTATTTAATTTGTCTCTCTATCGAAGCTCTGTTCGTTTGTCTCTCTATATAGACTACTTGTATTTTTCTCTCAACATAAACTCCTTTCTTTTGTCTCTCTATATAAACTACCTTCATTTGTCGATATACACTCCTTTTCTTTGTCTATATATATTATATATATATATATATATATAT